CATACACTCAACCCCCTCTGCCTCCATCTCTTCCATAGGTTCTCAGAGCAAACATCCAGATGAAAGGTGCGCTACTGTGTCCAGAATCTCTTCTTTACTAGTTGACTGTTCATCAGAGACAATGTCACTTGCCTTTTGTAATTCATAGCTTTTCCAAAGCACTCAGAACTCCACAACCAAATAGACAGCACAGGCAATGTCTTTTATTATACTGTACACTTATTTTTTCCCATGAAAAGAACAACTTTCAAAATACATCCAAAGCAGACAGAGATTTGCATGATACTTGGACAGTCCATGACATAGAGAAGACAGAAACAATCCTATTGACAAAGAAGTAGAGACAGTGGGGCGAGGACAGGCACCCACGACTTCACATTCACCAGCCAGGGCCAAGCACATTGCCTCTGGGCAGAGCTGTGGGTACCCAGACTTGCAAACACAGGGCAGAGAAATGTCCTTCACCTTCTCAGCACCACCCAAGATCAAGAGGGCTGGACTCAACGTCTTCTAGGATACCAAGTCTTTCTGGCATCAGCTGAAAAACTGTCTGAGATAGGGGAGCTACTAGACAAAAAGAAATATCAAAGCTATGCAGGTCAGAATCTCTATTTCTAAGCCCAATAGTTGGTCAGTTATGAGGGTCACTTTTGGAAGCTTCTGCTGCAAGTGACATGCTTTCTTCATTGTAACTTTAGCACAAGGATGTCGTTGTGCTTCATTGTTGTTTGTTTTTAAGTGCATGTGTCCTCCGATTGATTATCCAATCGAGTTCCTGATTTTATAGATAAAACCCTCTGAAACCCAAAGATGTAAAGCTCCTCTCTCAAGCCACAGCTAATCCGCTGCAGACCCTCCACTAATCAGTTCTAAATGCTGTGTTGCTTCCACCACACTGAACATCACTCTGATCACTCCCCCCTCTGTAGAAACAAAAGAAAGAAACAAATGTATGGGGTAGAAATGGTTTCTTTGGTAAGAACATGTCAGTCTTATATGACCAGATCTAGAAAATCCAGACTGGTTGATTGATTGTACGGCAGGGGACTGGCTCCTGTCTGGGCAGGAGCACCCTCTGAGAATAAAGGAAGGCAGTTTAAGGACCTTGGCTGAGCAGGATTTCTGGGGTGAGTTGGTATCCCTTTTCTCCTCCGTCTCACTGGAATCTAGAATGAAGACTGACAGGCATGGTCTAAATGACACCAATGTTCTTAAACAAATGGCTCACAGCTCATAGAAAATAATTCTCCAAAAATATGATAAAATATCAAAAGTATTAAGTGTCATATACAGTACTCAGGAGCACACTGGTCCTGGGTGGACCCCTCTAAAAAAAATAAAGTCACAATAGGGAAGTCAAGCATTACTTGTGATAAAGCATAACCCCCATCTGCTGAGTGTAAGTGGAAAGGTGGGTGCAGTGGCCTCCTAGCACCTTCATGAGAACCTCCAGGGCCTTTCTGGGTGCCCTACCCTACCTCCCCCATCAGAGCACCTGGGCTTGGAGCCAAGAACCCCTTGTCCCAGTCTCAAGACCCAACTTTTCAACAGAATGGCACCTTTGCTTTAATTTGGGGTTCATTCAGCCAGCACCCCATCTCAACTTCATCCTGGGGACAATGTCTACAGGCAGAGAGACCACATAGACGGCAATGAGAAAATGGTGGGCCAGTGCTGATCCAGGGCACCCCAACATTATGAGTGTGTGCACTCATGACAGGTAGGTGGACTTGCTTCTCAGGGACTACTTTTCAAAGTGTGACAACTGTCATCAAAGGAAAGAACAGTACCTCTCAGGGAGCCTGTGGGACCAGATGAGTAACATTCTTCTACCCTTCTCCCAACACACTGTCCTTCTGCTAAGAAACACTCCTTTCCCCTTAAGTGGAACTCTGTGTACTCTGCTTTTGGTGACAGCCCTGGGTGGGGTGAACAGGGAGTTGCCTGGTGCTCTGGAAGGTGAAGACAGGATGGGAATGGAGGGAGGGTCCACCATGGTCCCTCGGGAGCTGAGACCTTGAGCAGAGAAACTCTGTCTTCTCACCAGTGAGATGGAAGATAAGAAGCAGCCTTTCTTATGGGGTGGGGGGAGGAAATGTGAGCAAAAGTGTTTTGCTTAAATAATGATAAACTCTCTTTAAAGGTAACAAGTGTGCTATTCTTCAGAGGTGTTGAGGTTGCCCAATAAAAGGGCTCTGACTTGGCACCTATAATTCAGTGGTGTGGGAGAGGCTCCCCTTGCCCAGTGCTCCAAGACATTTGCCACTGGGGGATACCTTGAGCTGAGCCAGCCTTCTTATATGGAAGAATCAAAAGTCCCTGGATTTCCTCTAGGGAATGACTCAAGGACCCTGATTCAGCAGGGAAATCTTGGGGTCTTCAGAGTAAATCATCTCCCTATCCAGCTGGCCTCACCTGACCTCTTCTTGCACCCTCCATGGAGACATCCTAGTTTCTCCATGTGCCTCCTACAAGACCCCAATGAGCTCAGTGGCTTATTTTTTTCTTTTTCACAATAACAAGCAAAAAAAAAAAAACCCTGCAGCACGGAATTCCACTATTACAATGACAAACTATGATTTCTAGATTTCAAATAAGGACATATGAGACTCAAACCATAAACATAAATCCCAAGGAGATGCCATACATTTACCAAGCCATCCTTTCCCTCAATGAATCAAAACTAACCACCAGAGGGCACTAAGTGAACCTAGAAATTTCCTGACGCCACCAATCTGTCCTCTCCAGTCAGAATATCCTCCCTAGACATGAGGGGCTGTGCTCTGATGTGGTAGATCCCATTATGCCCTCCAAGGTGCCAACTCTAGCCAAGGAAGAAACAGACCATTTTCAGAGTCAATAAATCCCATTGCTCAAGACCCCTTCCTGTCTGCCAGGTTTCCAGAAGGAGGCTTAGTACGTGTCTGTAGACTATGAAGAACCATGGAAAACTATCACGATGCCCTCAGGCACCCACCTGGCTCCACAGGACAGAGATATGTGCTATGCCTCAATACCCAGGAAGGTCTCTGGAGCCATTCATGTGTCAGACAGAACTTGACCAGTGTGTGGCTTTGGCAAGGGTGATTCATCTAGCTGTCTCCACCACCTTTCTGGAGTATCTGACTTTGTGGACCTTCTTTACTGGTAGTCCAGCTACATTCTTCCCCTAACAGCATGGTTTGGGACTATCCAAACACCAGAAGCTACAGTAATAGTTTAGAACATTCCAAAAACCAATCTTAGATTAACCAGAAAACTTAAATCAGAGGATTTTTACTTAAAACCCCTAAAACATTACCAGTCATATTTTAGGTGCAAATAAACCCCAACTCCCACACAGAGGCTCAGGTATCTAAATGTTGACTAGGTGGAAAAGGGGTAACCTTGGCTCCCACACAGACCCCATCAAGCTTTGGTTGAGCTTTTGATATCTAGCCAAAAGCCAATCTTCTCTTGGCCTTGATTAACTGAAGGTTTCTTCTACAATCTGAAGTACAAGCAAATTCAGGAAGAGGTTCTGCCTGAGCCATGGACCTCAGCTCATGTGTGCACTGAGATTGCCTTCTAGCCAGAGTTCCAGAGGCCATGCTCCATTCCCTCCTCTCATCCTCTTCCTTGAGACTCACTAGTTCTCCACACTCACTGCCTCCATGCCTGATTAACAGAAGGCAAACAAAACCAGAGTCATAGAATCATTAGTAACCAGGAAAACAAGAGGGATGAAAAAGGTTCTTCCAGGACAGGAATCCCAAGGCGGTATCCACATGGGGGTGAAGAGGATGCCCTTGGATGGCCGATGGGTTCCTCCTCCTCGGAGCCAGGTTCAAATAGCCAGCCAGTGCCGCAACTGCAATGAAAGACAGTGGGACCAACATAATTGAAGATAGAGCCAGTGGGGTCTTGAAGAACCATGGGCCAGCTGGTTGGGACATCAAGAAGCAAAGGGGAGGCGAAACAAACATCCTCTTTCCCAGCACAGACCTCAGAACACAGTCCTTAACTGGTGCTGAGGCTGGATGCAAAGAAGCCACCCCAAAGAGGAAGCTCAGCAGGCGCCACCCTCACCCCTCAGGACCACCCTCACCTCTGGGGCCAGCAGCTGTTACTAATGCCCTGAAACTGTGCCTTCAAGATTATAAAATGCCCAACTTAGTTTGGTGACACTAACTTAGTCACCTCTGTCCCTAACGTGTCAGAGGTAGAATGCAAGCAGGAATATTCCAGCACTCAGGATCGGCACAAGGAAACAGCAGCAGCAGCAGGAGGAGGAGGCTGACTGGACACCCATCACCTTAGCCCCTAAGCTAAAGCTGGCCATCACCCAGTTTTTCCAACTGTGATCCTGCTTGGGCACCCCACAGAGAATAACCAAAACTCACCCTATCCTGTCCCACACCACCCCCAAGGTCAGCTCTGCAGCTACCTGGAACTGTCTCACGTCTCTCTGGGCCACCAGGTGGTGCTCATTCTCTGGCGTGATGCCATAGGCCACTCTCTGTGAAGAAGGAAGAAGGGAGAGAAGGGGGAATCTCAGTGGCCCAGATCTCAGATGTGGCCAAAGCAGCTGAGATGTGAAGTCTTTGCCTTACAAAATAAGGACACTTGGAAAGACTACCACCACTAGTTTGTACAGCAATAAGTCTTGATGTAGCTTCAGGATAAAGGGCACCTCTGTTGAGGGGTGTGTGTGTGTGTGTGTGTGTGTGTGTGTGTGTGTGTATGTGTGTGTGTATGTGTGTGTGTACACGATGAACATATGTAAAGGAAAAGGAATCATTTCAGAAACCCCTGGTTTAAGTTGATCATATTATTATGATTATAAAAATGGTAGTGGACTCAGTCAAGGAGAGATGGGGTATCTGGGGACATAACACACACTAAAAGGGGACAGGCATGGCTGAGCTTTGCCTTCTCCTGTGAGCAGCAGAAACAGCCCCAGTACTGATGGGCAGCATGCAGGCATGCAAGAAGCACCTCCCATGGGCCAGGTTCTATACTTAGCCCCCAAGTGCTTTTCTCTTCCAAGGCACAAGATATTATTCCCAGGTTACAGATGTGGAAACTGGGGCTCAGGAAGGGTCATCACTTGATAAATGAGGTGGGTATGCTGACCCCAAGTATCCTCTTATTACTCTCTCACCCCAACAAGAATGCCACCTCCCCTTATCCCACAATAGCCATGCCAGAGCTCACCTCCCAAAGGGAGCCCCGAATGCTGAAGAACTTGTAGATGACATAGGCAGGTACCAGGATCATGGATGAGAGGGCAATGCCCCACCCGACCCAGTTGGCCCAGGGAGGATACACGTAGTCATCGTAGGTGAGCGGCTTGAAGTTGATGATACTGACCACCACCACAAACTGGGGGAAAGGGTGGGGGCACGAAGGAGAAACAGAGAAAAGAGAGTGGAGGGAAGAGAGAAGAGAATGTCAGAGATAGAAACAAAATGAGATGATCGAAGGAGGAAATGAGAAAGAAAAGAAGGGTGTTCAAGAGGCAAGTGATAGTGAAGATTCAAGATAGCGAAGACAACCGGGGAGGAAGGAACAAAAGTGACTTTGTAGCCAGCCCAACAGCATGGGCGGTGGTTAGGAGACCTGGCTGGAGACACACTAAGGTACAATATCCCCGGCCCCTTCTAAGAGTCCTGCCTGCATGACCAGGCTTCTAGATCCCAGCACCTCCTCCCCCAGGGAATAAATATGATCAGCCCACCCCCAACCTGTACTCAACCACCCTTCTACAGGTACCCAAACCACACCATACCAGAAGGAAGGCAGGGCTGACAAACTTCCAACACAGTCTCCAGTACAGGCCTGGCTTAAACCCCATCATCTGTTGGATGTCATTGCTGAACCTGTCAACACCTGGGAGCACATAGGGGAAACATGTCACAGAGAGCCCACAGATGCAGGCCCTGAAGCCATTGCATGAGGTTCTGGCAGAGTGCAGGGCAGGTGGCAAGAGACTGACACCTTGAAATGCAGGAGGCTCGACAGGCACTTTGCTAATGGCAAACAAGAGAGAGGACAAACTCTGGGACAGTCACCTTTCCTGTGCCACTCTGATTATCTAACAAGAGGGAAGCCAGAGCTCAGAGAAGGGAGGACATAACCCAGACTGAGGATCCAGGTGCCTTGACCCCAGCCTGGTTCTTTCCCCTTGCATAGTCTTTCTGTAAAAACAGTCCATCTAACCACGTATGTGTTCACATGGATACCCCTCCAACCATAATCTGAAAGAGACCATGACATGCTGCAATCCCTTCCAGAAAGAATAAAAACAAGATCAACCTACTACTGTCACATAGAGGGGAAATGAGCAGTTATGACACATTTGACATTTGATTTCTCAGTCCAGCTCCAGAGTGAGTTTAGTGAATAAAATACAGGATACCTGTTCAGGTTTGAATTTTAGACCCATGATGGAAAAAAATCAGCATCAGGAAAGTCTATGAAGTATTTGGGTCATTCTGATCTAAAAACATGTGTTCATCGTTCATCTGAAGTTTAGCTGTTTTGTTTGTTCAATCTGATACCTGCACTGTCAGGTGGCTGGGGGTCTGCAGCTCATTACTGGTTCTCTTTCAGATACTGGCACTGAGTCTCTCCTGGGTCTTTTCAGCCCAGTAAACTAAGAGTTGGAGAGTCTTACACCTATTAAATGAGGTGTTCACTTCTGGAGAACCAGGTGGTTGTCTTGGACATGAAAAGCCCCCTTCCCTCTCCAGGTAAAACAGATCCCAGGAGCTCTGAGGACCAAGACTTGTGACATTCTCACTTACCATAAAACCAGGAAACTCCAATAGCTTCCATAAGGACCGCAAACAGAATGGAGGTGCCTGCTGCAAAAGTGTCCAGCAGAGTCAGGACATAAATTCCTCCCTGGACACAGAGAGAAAGGGCTTGAGCCAACCTAGGTATAAATTGTCACTGGCTATCCTATCCATCCTTCAAATCCTTCTTATCCCCGTTCCCACATGATCAGAGCCCTGTTTACAAACATGGGTGACAGGGCTGTACAGCTAAATGTGTCTACATTCTAACCAAGGGCTGGGTAGGGTTCAGGATAGCAGAACCCCTGTGCTCAACCCCACTCAGCCCATCCCAGTACCAAGGCTGAGAATGTCTGGATTTTTGAAACAGTCTTAGAAAATCCAAGACTGCCCCATGCCCAAACTTACCTTGGTTATGCAAAACATGGCCAGAAGGAAAGTACTTATGGTGACACCAAATGTGAAGAGTTTCCGGTGCCGCTTCAGGACCTGGAAGTCGTCAGCCAATCCTGTGATGACTGCTTCCATGCCTCCCATCTGTAGAGAACCAGGAGGGTGGGGCAGGAATGAAGGGCTTCCTTCCTGTAGTTCACTATCAGCTTCAGTTACATCAGGTTCTTCTGAAACTGGCAGGCCCTGCCTTCCTCCTAAGCATCTTTTCCTCTTTTTCTGATCCAGTCTCAATCACACTCAAATAATATGGGATGCAGAAGAGTTAACTTTTGCCTGCCTCCTCAACAGGTCCCTGACCGCTGATTCACTCAGCCTGAGTGAGTACTGAAGAGAAATAGAGAGGAAAAGGATATAGTGCCCAGATGACACATCTATATGCAAATAGAACCTTCTGGAAACATCAACCAAAGAACTTCTCCAGAGTGGGAACTCCATTACATAGTATATGACAAGGGTCCCTTACTGCCTTTCCAAGCAAAGTGGTCACTTTAAGTACAAACTGTGAGTCTATTCCTTATGAGCCACTGCTGTGACAGACAATAATCACATATGTCCCTTGTTCCTCTCCACTGCCCTTGGCAGACATTGTTAATCAAACTCAATACTCTTCCCTGAGGTCTGGAATCAGCCTCTCAATCCTTTCCAGCACACTGATCTGGCAGATCCACCAAGTGAAAAGCAAAGACAGTGAGATCCGCTGGCCAGCCCCTCCCTAAGGCATTTAAGACTGAAGGGTAGAAACAGACATTAAAAAGATGTCAGGAACTGAGTTTGCACATAACTAAATTTAAAAAAAGGATCTAGTAACCTAGCAGGGTCCAAAATGTTTGGGTTGGTTGTTAGTAATAAAATATAATGAGTGGGAAAATTCTGGGTCAAGAACATTCTATTCATGTCCTTTCTGAAGTCTGCCTCCCCATCCACAAAAGCAAAGTGTTGGGCTGACTCGTCTGAGGCCCAGTACAATTTGGAGTTCCTGTAGGTTTCTGGCTTTGACCTAGGCTATCATTTTGAAGGAAGACTCACTTCATTATTTGTATTAAAATAGGGCCCTTGGAAACAGACACCAGACAGCAATAGCCCTGCAGGCTGAGTACAGGTATGGATTACAGTAGTGGAGAAGGGTGTTCTGAGAGGAATCACTCACTGAGCTGTCCAGACCCAGAGCCAGGAGCATCAAGAAGAACAGAACAGCCCAGAACGTGGATCCCGACAGAGTGGAGATGGCTTCTGGATACAGGACAAACACAAGGCCAGCTCCTGTAAGAAATATTAAGGCCTGATCAATGGCTGGAATGTTCAATTGGGGCAGCACAGGGCAGGGAAGCTCCAACCCAACCTTAAGACTCTTAATCAGTCGTGCGTGGGCAGCACAGACTCAGGATCTGGGCATGAGAGAAGGAGCCATAGTTTAGTGGTGCTATCTTTGAGATCTGCAATGTCCCCCAAGCGGCCCTGTGTCAAAGTCTTGATCCCCAGCTAGAGCCGTTTCGAAGTGGTAGGAAGTTCAAGATATGAGGCCCAGTGTAGTCTTCCATTTATTGAGGATGTGCCCTTGTATTGGGACCCAAGCTCTTCTTCCCTCTCTCTCCCTTTTGCACTTCAGCCATTACATTAACAGGTTGTACCACCATGTGGCCCCAACATAGGCCTCAAAACAAGAGTGCCAAGTAGTCATCAACTCAATCTCTAAAACTGTGAGTCAACTAACCATGTCCTCATCATAAGTCAATTGTCTCGGGGATTTTGTTAATAGTAATACAAAGCAGATGCACACAACCTGTGCATCAAACAGCCAGGCAGAGAGAGCAGCAGCTTGCCTGAACAGCTACAAGCCACATGTGGTAAACCCACTTTCTGCTCTGCGGGATTCTACCCTGATTCTCAGAAACTCATGACCCTCAGAGTCCACTGAAGAATGCCTCTCTCTGGGTCTCAACCTCCTTGTAGCCTTAAGAACACAGAAGGCCACAGAGAAGGACAGAGGATCCAAAGGCAGGATGATTGGGGCCAAAGCTAACATCATTGCTCACCAGCTCACAAGTAGCTTAAGTCCAAAAGACTCATCTTTAAAGAGGCTCTGCTGACCCTTGCCTTGCAGCTTTGTGAGAACTAAGTGGAGCTACGCTGCTGGGTTTGGTATGCAGTTTGTCCCCACTGAAATTCATGCTCAGGCTTGCTCCCCAATATAGTAATGTGAAGAGGCTGAGGAGCTTAAAGATATAATTAGATGTTAAGTATTAAGCGGGCTTTCGTGGAGAGTGTTGTTATAGATCGACTTTCCTACAAGCATGACTCTTTTGACACATGGGTATCTGTACTTCTACTTCTCTATAATAAGATAAACAACATATGATCTGCACCAGAAGCCTACTGGACAACCAGTCTCCTTGCTCTGGGCTTGCAGAGGGGTAAGTTAACTAAACATCTTTTGTGTATAAATAACCCACTATGAGCACCTAATGCTACCACCTGCAGACCTGGCACTATGAGGACTTCAGATCTGGAAGAGATTTGGTACTAATTATTAGATAATTATCACAAAGGCTGTTGCAGAATGTGCAGGACAAACTGTGTTCCTCTTAGGCTGCTAGCAGAAAGTCTTGTTATATACTGAGGGCCCAGGATTGCCAGGGATGTTCACTGATGGCCTCAAGAGAAAGCCCAGCAGATGGAAGCCCGACCCTCACCATCCTCCAACCATAAAGGCACTATGAAGCCAGGTCAATCTTTCTTCCTTTAGCTGGAGACAAAGTGGTCTGGCACCTACCTTCAGTGGCAACATCTTCAATCTTGACCTTATGTTCATGGGCCATGTAACCAAGGATGGAGAAGATGGCAAACCCAGAAATAAAGCTGGTAACACAGTTGATGGTGCTGGTCAGCAGGGCATCCCTGGTAGAGAGAGGGAGGGCTGCTATTGACAATGCAAGTCCACCTGACTACTCCCACTCTGCTCATGAACCACTGGCCATCTGTGGAATCTTTAGTCTCATCCAGTCTCAAAGATCATCCCTCTTTTCTATTGTCATGCTGTCACATGGACCCCAGTACCTCATCACCACTGGGTTAGTACCTGCTGGGGAAATGTGTAAGCAAAGAGCTCACCAAAGGTATTGATGAACTCTTAGGGAATCAGAGTTCCTCTCTCCTTAAGTAAACTCTCCATGGCTTAGTATGTCTCCTAGCTCTTTGTGTTGATCCACCCTTCCTTCTTGGCCTATTTCTCATGACATCTAGTGTATACTCTTGGAACAAATAAAACAAAGCAACACTGATCCACTGACACACCACCTCCCTGTCTTTGTCCATGTCATCTGTTCCACACCTGCCTACCATAACCTCAAATGTCCTCCTAAGCTTGCCTCAAGTTCACCTCCAGGCTCTTATTGCAGCACACAACTAAGGGAATGATCATTCCATTTTCTAACCTTCCTAAAACCTCTCCTGGTGGCACATCCATCCTGTTCTTTCTGTGATTCTGCCTTGATTGTTAAATAAAGCGAGAGAGGTAGACCCAAGTCTGCCCCAGCTCTGAATTCCTCACAGCACAGGGTCTGCAGGAAATGGCATTCAGTGCTCACTGATCCAAACTGGAGATGGTCCCTTCAGCATCCCACCTGCCCTGAAGTCTTACTTCTGAACCAGCCAGCCCTCTCCAGCCCGTTTATTCTGCCCCTGCCTCATGGAGTATCTGATGAACAGTGACAGGTAGTTCCATCTTCTCTGGAAGCCATGCCACGTTCCTCTTTCCCAATAATCCTTCCCCATAGGCTCCTGTAGCTGGTGACCTCAACTTTCCCAAGAGATGTCTTCTAGTGAAATATGATCCTTGGACCCCATAAACCACATTGGGGTTCCCAGAATGACCAGAATGGTCCACAAAGGACAGATAAAGCCTCTCTAGATAAAGCCCTCTCTAAATTCCTATAAGGAACAACCCCAGGATTCAAGCATTGGTGATCTCTAAAGGGGTGCTTACCTGTAGCAGTTGTTATCAAATTTATTATAACTGGCAAACGCAATCAAGACTCCAAATCCAGCCCCCAGGGAAAAAAATATCTGAGTTGCGGCATCAATCCATACCTGAAACCAGTGAACAAAAGTCATCACCATCTCTACTTCCTACAGAACTGGATTGCCTCCCTGAGAGTGTCATAGACCAGAAAATGTGGTCTGAAGCAGAGACATAGGCAGTATATGGCTAGTGGACTAAAGATTTGAGCCCTTCTCCAACCCTTGTGTCATGGTTTAGCCCTAGTCAGTCTCACTTCTCCAGCATCCAAGATTGCCCCATATATATATATGATAAATATATCCAGTACACCTAAACTAAGGCATTTGAGTGTGATGATGCCTGCCACATCTCTACTTGTATTATTCTGGATTTTCCCAACCTTCCATTATAATGGGGGAAGACAGATCTACTCACCAAGACTACACTAAGGACTTAGGACTTAGTGTCTACATATTTGAGTGAAAGAAGGTAGCTGAGCAGGTGCAGAACCAATGGAAACCTGCTGTGCTTCACAAGTTTCTAGGTGACCCATGGCCTATGGTCTTCCATCTTTCTAAGTTACACAAGAAAGAGGTTGCTTCTTGGTCCTTGTTCTATAGCATAGTGGTAGGCTGGACACTCAACTAAGAAAGAAGCATTTTGAAATTTACCCTTCTTAATCCTGTTGCTGCACCCATCACCACCTACCCCCTAAGAAGCATCCCTCCACCTGGTCCAATAACAGGTGGCCACCGGGTACTCACCGTGGCCTCTTTGAGGCGGTAGAAGTCAATGTGCAGGTAGGCGTTGATGCCATTGGAGGCACCAGGCAGTGTAACACCATGGACCAGGAGCACAAATAGCACAAAGTAAGGCAGGGTGGCTGTGATCCACACGACCTGAGCAATAGACAAACTGGCTGTGAGAGTCTCTCTCTGCCTGAGACCTGGGGAGGTACTAGGGCAAGGACATAGGATCTTTTCCCACAGAGTCAAACATGCCCTCCCCCAGCTTCCTTCTCCTAGTGTTTGAGGCACCATCTTCATTTTGGGGCCATGCCCTTGGCCAGATTTCAGGAACAGAACAATGAACAGACACAGAGCTCCCTGAAGAAGCTCAGAACTGAGAGTCAGTCAGTGACTTAGAGAATAGGGCTCAGACAGCAATGGTGGCCAGCAAGGGCAAAAACAAGGTTGTCAAAGTCCCTGATGCCTCAACAAAGCTCCCTCTCCTGACCCCTCTAAGCTACTCTATATGGAACTGAGCATACTCACTCTTCCCCTGGCAGGCTTGCCTCCATCACTCTACAGGCCTCGGTTGCTGCACTCAACTGATAGGCAAACTGTTTAAAATTCCCAGTCTCCCTCCCTTTTTTCTCTTTCCATTTTCCTTCTCCTCCTTTGCCATCTGTCCTTCTCCTCTAATACTTTCCCTTTTTGTGTAAATGTGCTTTGATTTCCTTCATTGTAGAGGACAGAACCCAGCGCCGTCCACATGTCAAGCATTCAACCTCTGAGATACATATTTTATTTTATGAGACATTGGCTCACTTGTAGCCCAGGATCCCTCAAATTCATGATCCTCCTGTCTCAGTCTCCCTGGTGCTGTGATTACAGATATGTGCAAAACACTTAGCTTCTCTCTTTTTCTTTATCCACATTTACGTGCATTCTCTCACGTCTGTGATGTATGTAACTGGACAGAAAATAGAAAAAAATTCCCCATCTCAGTAGGAGCAGATCGAGACCAAGACAAACTATCTTTGCAGAAATAGAAAAGGGAAGAAAGAATGAAAATAAGAGCAAATGAATGGGTGAGGAAACAAAGTGAGTAGACCCAGCAGTGGTGGGCACATCTGGTTTAGAGGGAACCAGAGAAGGCTCCCTATTTAATGTCATTCAGTTAGTCACTCCCCAATTCTAGGAATGTCTTTGGGAATATATACTTTGGCTTCTGTTCTTTGAAGGATTGTTGGTGCAGAAACACAGAGGACAAACTTGATAAGAAATGGGGAGAAAAACATGCCCTTGACGCTGAAGCTGTTGCATCTGGGTGGCCTCACATTGGTCTTGGATGACTCAATCTCTCTAAATGGGACAAACGCATCTCCATGCTTGGCAATTGGAACAAAGAAGAGTCATCATCCTTCCTTCTCCTAACAGTTACAGTCTCCTACAATTCATGTCAACAGCTGTGGCCCAGCTGCACTGTCCTACCCAGCAGGCTGGGTGTGACCACACTCCTCCCACAGAAACAGCACCCAGTGTTCTGACTCTAAGAAATCTCCCATGGAGCCTGGAGGTGGTCTTGCATTGGCCATGGCTGAGGCTTCAACACAGATTTGGTTTCCTAAAGAATGCATCAGGGTATGATGGAGCCAGCTGTTGAGTGCTTCAAGCATCAAGGAAGAGCAGATATTTTCTCCCATGACCATACATTCAAAGTTAAAGCTTTAGGTGGCATCTAGGACCTTTTGTCAAAAGCTGAAGGACAGCACCCTCACATGCATGTGTGTTCCTATGAATGCAGCAAAGGAAGATCCCTCTGAGCTCTGTCATCTCCATCCCAAGCCTAATTTTAAACATGAGTTAAAGAACAAATGAGCAACTCCTTTTTCTTTGTTCTGTCACTTTAAACATAGTTTGGTTTGGGGTTTTTGTTGTATTGTTTTTGGGGTTTTTTGTTTTGTTTGTTTGTTTTTATTTTAAGAGAGTCTCACTAGGTAGTCCTGCCTAACCTGCTCTAATAGATCAGACTGACCTCAAACTCTGTTTCCAAAATGCTGGGATTGAGGGCATGTTCCACCTTGTCCATACTTAAAGATAAATTGTTAATCACTTGGATGAATCTGTGGATAATTTCTAAAGTTGCACAGTAACAAACTCAAAGCAATGGCCGATCCTAAAAATGAAGATAACTGTGGCTCATAAAAGGAAGAACCTGAGATGGCAGAGGATCCTCCCAGTGCTTTGGGTATTGGTATTCTCGGTGTTGGAGCATAGCACCCACCAGAGCTTCTCCAACTGCAGGTTTAAGAGGACCCTGAGGGACACCCCCAGAAAGCTCAGCTCCCTACTCCTTCCTGGAGAGATCTAATTTTGTGTGGGTGGGGGAGGAGCTCACCTTTTTGATGAGCTTCTGGGTGACATCAATTCTAGTAGTCCATGAGTGACATCAGTGCTAGTAGCCCATGGATCTCACCTTGACCAAGACCATTCTTGGCCTGGTGCCTGGATGCATACCAATGTTTGCATAATTTCACTAACTGAACTCAGCATCTCCCTGGACCCATGCCGTTGGGTAGAAGCTCCATACAGTTTGTGGCCAGCTAGCCTAGTTTACTTGCCAAGGGCCAGATCAGGGAGAAACTCCTGAACAAGCAAACAAACAATAACAGCAACAACAACAAAAACAGTGCACAGGAATGACAGTCCATAGTCTTCCCTCTGGACTTTACATGTACACACACACACAAATATTTATGTGCACTCCACACACATACAAACATACACTTGTTCACATAAATGAGAATTAAAATAAATTATAAAGTAAATATCCACACTGTTATCTCTGTGAAACTTGATTAATTTTTCCAGACTTAGGATTTGTGGTCTTTGAACTGAATCCCAGGACCATTTTCACCAAGGAAGATAATCGTTTACACAGAAGAATGAATAGGGTATGGCATAACACTAACGTTGCTTAAGAGAACAGCATGCTATACATAGTTTAGTGCAAGCATGGATCATATGCAAATGACTCTTCTGTGTAACTAAGACCATAACTTAGTCAAATCATGAAGGTAAACCAGGATCAGCCTGGATTGACACAGTAATGGTAAGATGGCTAGAATTATGACGACTATAAATGAAAATGCAAACAAAAAAGTTTTATCTATTAAATATTCTAAAACTTAATCTCTGAATTTGTATGTCTTTCTCTCTCTCTCTCTCTCTCTCAAAATCATTCTCTCTTTTTTTTTCTTCTTCTCTCTCTCTCTCTCTCTCTCTCTCTCTCTCTCTCTCTCTCTCTCTCTCTCTCTCTCTCTCTCTTCCCAATTCCACCACCTCTTGCTAGAATTCAGGACATGGTCTACATGTTCCCAGCTTCCAAAAAGCCCAAAGGCTGGCAATGAAATGGGTAACGAATGGCTGGCCCAAAGGCTGGCAGTGAAGTGGGTAACTAAAGGCTGGTGCTGGCCAGCTCTGCCAGCTCATCTCATGTCCCTGGAAGAGGGGCCTCGGAAGTTTCTCACACTCAGTGCAGTGTGTAAACAGATTAGGTGGGAACTCAGGAGATGGGGAGGCAAGCACCACTTCTGATCCCCTCTGACCTTTTCAGAGGTGCTCACTGGGCCAACACAGCTGTCCCTGAGTGTGTGGTCTGGGGTGTCCCCTTCCTCTGGTTCAGACTATGCTCCCACCTTCCTGAGAGCCGAGGAGTTAGTATCTTTCCAAGCCATCTTCCCTTGCACATGTTTGACTAATTCCAGGCCCCCTCTGTGACTCTGGAGGCGGACTAAGAAAAGCTGGTGTGCTGTGCTGGGAAGAAATAAGCAATACTTTTGGACTCCTTATCAGCCAGTTTATAAAAACAATTAAAGACAGCCCTGGAATGTCCCAAGTGAAGCCAATTCTAGAAATGCCCTTCCCAGTGGTCTACCTGGGCCTCAAACTTCAGGACTCTGGGGGGAGTTATGCAAATGAGGGCCCTGGTTTCAGAGCCACTCACATCCCTCATCACATTTCCACACATGGAGGGTGCTTTCCTGGGGAAACACTCCATCTCACCTCAGAAAGTACATTTGGAAAGAGGGACTGAGCACACTCAGCCACTCCTCCTCCTGCTGCTCTCTTGGTAACACCAGTCTCCCTGCTGGCAGCTTATGGTTTGCTCATGCTGTGAGGAATAAGCTTGGGTTGCCATATTTGAATACTGATAGCCCCACATCCATCGTCTACAGCTCTCTGGATGGGCTGTGAGGCCTGCTTCTGGCACCAGGAGCACACCAGCAGGCTTGTCTAAGGCTGCCACACCTTGGTAGCTTTGTTCTTCCAGTGAGAAACTTTCCCTTTCTCCTCCCTTCTACCCATGCCTATCCTACCAGGTAAAGCACAAATATCACCTTCTCCATGCCCTTTGTGGACCTTCTCAGCTGACAAAGCATCCATTGTCCTTAAATGTGGCATCTGGGACTTTTTGACCATGCCAAATGATAGGAAGTATTACCTGTTTCATCAAAGTATGGGTAAACATACAAATAGCTACCTCCATCTGTCTAGATGTAGCTATCTGCAACATTGGCTTAATAACAGTTTAAAAATCTACAGTTTGTATTTTTGTTAAGATATAATTGGACTACCTAATAAGAAATTATGCTAAGGTAAAATTAAGTTTAAAACAAAAAAGCAAACTATATAATTACAAATGTAGTTTGTGACCATTGGTTTTAATTTGAATGTGGCTGAACATAGATGCATTTGGATAATGACTCAAAATACTGGACACCTCTGCTGACCTCAAGCCCATCAGGAACACAAACAGATGAAAGCAACTGAAGAAATAATCTGTCTTCTTGTGTACTGCTAGTCCTAGCATTGAGGATAGCACATAATAGGTGCCCATGAAAGTTTAAGAAGTTGAGCTAAGCACTTAATAAAGTTCCCTAAATTTGCTCACTGTTCTTCAACCCATTACTAAGCATTTACTGGAGGCCTACTATGTGCAGAACATCAGCAGGATAGTAATCCTAGATTGGTTTTGACACTGGGACAAAAAGCAAGCATGGTGCAATCATAGACTGGGAGAGCCACTGCATGTGGAGTCTCTTCTGTTTGGAGTGTGATCTGGAAGTCAGTTGCCATGATGCGAGATGCCCAGGAAATATAGAAAAACTACATGGAAGCAATCCAAAGTCCTTTGACCCTAAGCCCTCCAGCTCAGCTCCCAGCCAGTCCCAAACACCTGGGGTGTCCCAGTCAGGTCTCTAGACACAGAGAATAACCATCTACCCGAGCCCAGTCAATTGCCAGACTGTGAGACATGATAAAAATATTTGCCATTTTAACTCACTATGTTATGGTGAGGCTTATCCCAAAGCACTATCTAAGTAAAACATTAGAAAGGACACTTCCTAGCTCTATCATCTTTAGTTACAGTTGAGTTCTAGGCTACATAAAGTCCCAGTAGGGTTGTTATCTCTATATCATTCCCCACGCTGAGAGTCAACTGGAGACATTCCCTAAGCACACTCCATCCCTTAGAGCTTACCACACGGCGGAGCATCATACAAGCAGAATGCCACCCTCACTGTCTAGCTAACCTTGTGTTCTCCTTAGTATCTAGACACTTGGGGGTGCCCAACATTGTATTAAAACCAAAACACACATCTAATTATCTTTCAAAACATCTTTCTCCCATAAATTCAGCATGGATTTATTGGTTTTATAGCAAAACAAATTGTTGATTTCCAGAGTAGGTGCAATGTTTACATGCAGTTTTAGATGCAATTTCAAAGTCAATGATCTGTAGCCTTGGTCTCAGATTTTAGGGGATGCCCCAAGCCTTGGTGTCTGCTATTGTAGAAGCTTTCAAGAGAAAATATGAGGAGATCTGATCTACTTGTGCCCCTTTACCCTGCTGTTGGGCAGAGTCCAGTTTAGGCTAACAGATTTGTTGACATAGTGTCAGAGCTGAGGATATGACCCCAACTTGTGGTCCTAGACCCACCTGTTTGCACCATGTACATGATTGTAACTAGGAGAACACAAAACAAGATGTGTATTTCCAAGCCCAACTCCCCAGATGAAGAAGCACAGAGACATCACCTTTCCAGACGTCTTCACTCCCTTCCAGAGGCTGAAGTACAAGACAATGATGACAACCATCAGGCAGAGCAGTAGCTGCCACTGGGGCAGGCCGATGTCATGGATCCCACTGCTCTCATGTAAGTGAAGGACCCCGCGCCTGTGAGCAAGAAAGAGGACAGCATCAAGGAGGGTGATCAAGTGCCTAGTGATGGTGACAGGACCCAACACTCTCCCTAACTCCCGGGCTATTGTATGTGCCAGTTCTGGCCAGCTTTGGCCTGCTGAAGCGCCACTTACTGGCCCTGGGAACATGACAATAAGACAGGGAAGACCCCTGTTCTCCAGAGTTCACTTTCTAAACTAGCAGTTCTCAGTAGGAGAAAGAACGGTGTTCACACACACAACAAACCTGAAATGGTAAAATCCACCATTAGTGGAATTATTATTCACACACACAAATCTACCATTAGTAGAATAGACAGATTGTGGAGTGTTATGCAGCATCTAGGCCCTTGGAGATGAAACTTTCACATCTTATGGCTATGGCAGACAATCAAAAGAGCATTTTCTATCTGATTCCATTCATATGAAGTTCTGTGAAACATGGAAAATTAATTTAGATGGTTAAAAGTCACTCTGGGATTGAAGTGAGCATTGCCAACTAGGGAGGGACCCATGGGCACTTCTAGGCACCCTGATTCCTGGGCTGGGTGCTGGTCACATGGCTCTGTTCAGTTTGTGAGAGTCACTGAGCTGGCCCTTTGTGACATGCATTTCTTTGTGCCGTGTCATCCTTCAATAAAAGTCATTTTAATCAGTGAAAACAAACAGAATAAGCATTCTGAGGTTATTGAGATGTCACATACATGTATAGTGAGGGAATGAAAAACATAACAGTAAGCAAAATGATCACTTGCTAATTAGAACCCAAAATTACTTGGCCACATGGTCAACTAAGACAAATAGATAAAATAGTAGATTAGGTCCTAGGAACTAGGTGCCCTACAGGTTACAGATGTCCACCAACAATTCCACATCCTAAGAAGTCAAGCAAGAAGAAATCTCTAGAGAGTACCTTAGTGGGGCCTTTGACTACACCTGTGTCATGCATTCTTCTCAAAAGGTTAGCTGTAGGCTGGCCCATCTGGACCATAGAGACACTTGAGAAGCCCCTGGCATTGTAGTTCCTACCTTGACAGGGTTATATCCAACATTGGCAGGAGCAGTAAGTGTAAAATCACAACATAGAGTGCCATATGTTATGAATAGTTAGGGAGCTACAGGAGGCCCCCATTCTAGTCTCCCCATAGAGTGCCATATGTTATGAATAGTTAGGGAGCTACAGGAGGCCCCCAGGATGGTCTCCACCTACCTGCCTCTGAATGCCACACTCAAAGGCCCTAGTTGGCTGATAATTGCTGCCTCAAATGTCTTTTCTTCTAGAAGGGTTTAACAATAACCCTTGTCATATATCTTTAACTCTTTCAGTTCCCATGGCTCTTGACTCTTCTTCCAGAAGAGCTTCTACTTAGGACACCAAGGCTAATGCACAGTGTCCTTTAGTATCCCTGGGGAATTGGTTCCATGACCTTCCATGGCTACTGAAGTCTGTGGATGCTAAAGTGCCTTAGATAAAATGTCATTGTGTTTGGTATTTCTTACACAGTTCCTTTTGTACATTCTATATCTATCATCTCTAGATTACTTTAACTACCTAGTATCAGTACAAGTGCTGCTCCGTATCACTGCAGAGATAATGGCAAGACACAAACTTTTGTCTGTACCCATTCAGAAGAGACACATTTTCACAGTGTGATATACAGGTTCACTGCACAAAGGCCTTCCAGAAAAGAGAGGTAGATAAATCACTCCCGGGTTGCTAGGGCTCAACCCAGGTCTGGTAGCTACATGCTGTATTCAAAACAGACAAGTGTCCTCAACTCTTCTAGCTAAACCTAACAGTCCATCTTCTACTCTAAAAAAAAAATGAGAATGCAGAACCACTCCAGGAAAAGAGCTAGAGAGGAAAAGGTGAGTCCCCAACATGCTTTTGCTTCTTTCAAGTCATCCTTCTACTTGTGGTAAAGTCCCAGCTCTCTAGGTCCTTTGTATTTTCCATAGGTAGCCTCCCATTTCCCCACGTAGGGGTCTCATTTCCCTAAGTGTCCTTCTGCAAATGTCCATGCTCAGCTTCAAAGAGAACCTAGCTATAAATCATACTGAAGTGTTAAAAGCAGGCAGCAGGTTCACACACTATCGTTCCTTCGAATAAAACACTAATCCAAAAGGACACAGTGGTGGGAAAAAAATTACACATCTTTGATGGAAAGTTGTCTAATATGTATCTATATGTTATCTAATATCTATGTTTAATGGGTTACCTGCCCCCTTCCTCTACATTCCCCCAATCCTTTCTCAATCTCCTTTCCTCCTCCACCCCAGTTTTCTATCTCTTCTGCCACCTCTGCCTAAAGAGAATTATGAGTAAGGGTTTGAATTTGAATATAATTCAGAACCTACCAGGGGCATCAGTTATGGACCCAGCTCATCTCTGAGCATTTCTTCCCTTCAGTAACAGGATTCTCAACTCACATATTAGTATTAATTGCCTAATGTCTAAGTAAATATTTCTCTCTGTTGTTGCTGTTGGATGCTCTGTTTCACTATGTAGCCCAGGCTGGCCTGGAACCCATGGCAATCTTCCTGCTTCAGTCTCCCATGGGCCACCAGAACAGACAAAAACCAATCTTTTAAAAGAAGTTTTATATCATAAAAGATCTGCTGCTGTCTACTCTCTCTTAACCAATTAAGTCAGAACCTCTGGGGAGTTGGTACTTGGGCAGAAATGTCTTTGATTGGCAGCCAAAGACTGAACCTACTAAGTCAAAGGCCTACCCAAATGACAGGCTTCTTCTAGACCAACTTGGGCCTTCCAAAACTGTCTACTTTACTGGCAAAATACAATTGGCTTTCTGTACTTAGGGAAGGCTTAGGGAGGCTCCTAAGAAGTGGGTCTGTAACTCTTCCAGAAGCCTGGGTTCTTGGAGGAGCACACGGATAATGGTAATGGGGAGTGGAACCACCTTTACTGGACCAGCTCAAAGAATCAGATTCAGTGCCGATGAGTCTATTCCCAGGCTGGAGATTCGCCAACTTGCCCCTGAGGAGTTAGCATTTGTGAGAGGCCTGTGAAAGTGTGAAAACATCACTGGTTCCCCTAGTCCTGGTCTCTTTGCCTAACCCTAGCTCTCTTAAGTCCACTCTCTACTACTGGGAGGTGACAAGTGCACATCCATCTAACCTTGTCACTCTTTTGTATCCAAATTCTCAGAGGCTGCTTATCACCTAAAACAGAACTTCTCACTGACACACTACTCCCTGTGTCTGGATCTTACATATTCTATACAGAGGGAAAGGGCTGGTTCTGGTATCTACTGTGTAGAGACCAAGAACACTGCCAAACATACATGACAGTGGCTACCCCACCCCCACTTCCTAGATAGATTCCTCCTACCCTAAATTATGCATGTCAAGTTGTGAAGTCTAGCTCTAGGTGAAAGAAGCCTTTCAGTGTCAGTGAGCTTTCAGAGCCCACCACTGCCAAGCTCATGTCTCCCTCGCCACACCTGCATTTTGGTCCTGTCAACAGCAAGATTCTTGTCTATAATCTTCAGATACTCCCCTGACCCTCAGGGAGTGTCTTGGAACCTTCTGTTCCTGAATCCTAGAATACATATCCCAACCCGATTTGTCAGCCTGGCCAACGTTTGAGTCCTGCTACCCTCAAATCAAAAGTGGATCCCAGACTTATAACCTTTATTTCCAGAGAGAGAGATGATAGAAGGTGGGAAGGGAAAGAGAAGAGATGGGAAGAGAAGAAAGGAGAAAAGGGGGCAGGGAGGATCGAGAGGAATGAATGGCTGAATATGACCAAAAATAGAGAATAAACAGTCTAGCCTCACTTGATTCTTAGTTCTCCTTCATCTCATAGTTCTATGGATCAGATGTGTCAATTGCCATCTGGTTAATTTGACTGTTAAAAATCACACACACACACACACACACACACACACACACACACGCACGCACTGCAGGGAATCACCCCAGCTTGTTGAAGCTTGGGGAAATGCCCTAATGTCCAATCACACAACTGAGGTGCCCCTCATGAAGCATGCTTCCCCACAGGCATCTGAAGAACCAGACTCTGGAGCTGGTCATGCCTAAGAGCATTGAGGGCCAACCTCCCTGGCTGTGGGGTTGGCACGGGTACTCGGGTTTGTTCCTTTTCTGGCAACTTACTGGGTGTGAATCACCAGTGGGGGCACCATCCAGGTTTTCCAAAGCCTGTGGGCCAAAATGGCTCCATTTCTTACTTGACATTTAAGCATTTAGTATTGGGGAGGAGGGATAATTCCCTTCCTCGCCAGAGGTATCATAGGGAGTAATTTTCTATCCTGACACATTCACTGAAGGTGTCTTTTACAGATAAAGCAAGAGCTTCAGTGGCTTTCAGCTGTGGCTCTGTGTGGCTTCAGGCACAGAGCCTGAGCAGAGCAGCAGTTTTGTTCCCTTGAATGATATGTTGAGTCTGTCAGGATAAATGAGTACAAGATGGCAACACACTTGGCCAAGGTGCCTGGGGAAAGAGAAGGAATTACCCAACCTCCACATGGCTGGCACTGGGAATCACATTTGCTGGCTCTCAGACAGAGTTGAGTTGTCTTAAAAGCCTAAGTATTTCAATAAAAGGGGCATGTACTACACAAAATCCAAAGGCAGTCATGACAATGTTGTGTTCTGGGAAGCATATAGGCAGGACTGAGGAAAGAGGCACTGAAAGGGCTCCTGTCTACCAGAAGAGGCCCCTGCACTTCTGAGCCAGACATATGAGGAGAGAGCCCTGGGACAGAGAGAAGAGACCCAGCTCTGCCTCAGACCTAGAGCTGGGCCTCTATTTTGCTGTCTGACAATGCAACTCCTTTCCACTTCCACAAATGTAGAGAACAAGGTAGGAGCCAGATGTGAAGGCATGCTCAGAACCCAGTTCAGGGTAGCTATGAAGGCTTGTGGGAGCAGGGGACAGATAGGAGGAGGAGGAGAAATCTGTAGAGCAGAAAGTTTCTGACATCCCCCCACCTCTGCTCCCTCCCCTGGGCCCCCAAGCCCCTGTGTGCAACCTTAGACAAGAATGTTCGCCTTCCACCATGTGGCTGGGCCTGGAAGAAGCTCAGCTCTGCAACAAAAGCACTCAAGGTCTCCTCTCCCTCCCGCTGTGAATCTATCTCTGTGGGAGTAGATGTGCTGGCCACTCAGGGGAGGAATCAAATACTAACCAGACCAAGATGAGGGGCTTTCATTTACCACTTTAATTTATAAGAACAACCATTGCCAGGAGCTAAAGAAAAACAATGCTGTTTGCGCTGTGAAAGGAGCATGCCGGGAAGTATGGATCAGCAGTCCCCCATCATCCCCCATCTTGCACTGCTCCCAGTCCAAACCACACGCATAAAATATGAAGAAACTCCTAGAACTTTCACCCACAAACTCTTACAGTTCTGGGGTCTGAGGCCATGCTCCTCTGGAAAAGAATGAAGCCCTGAAATTTCTATGACATGAGATCCCCACAGGGACAGGGAACTGTGTGTAGCTGTAGAGACTAATCCAGGGACTTTCAACGAAGGCTGGATGTAGGATTCTGGGGAGATACTGATCACAAAAGTCCATGTACCCTGACTGTACCCAGGCTGGTAAGATCCTGGCAGCAGTAACTTTTTAAATCCCCAGGTGAGGCCCCTGGCTGTAAGTCCAGGATCTATCCCTGGTACATGAGCTATCTTGTTGGAGCCCATTCCCTATGGTGGGATGCCATGCTCAGCCTTAATGCATTGGAGATGGGCTTGGTCCTGCCCCAACCTATTGTGACAGACTTTGTTGACTCCTCATGGGAGTCCTTACCCATGAGGAGTGGATGGGGAGAGGGGGGTCTAGGAAGGAGGAGAGGGCGGTGGGAGGAAGAACTGAGGTTGTAATGTAAGATGAAATTTAAAAAGAATAAATTATTAAAGAAAAAAACTCCCTGGGTGATTGCAATGTGTAGTAAAGATTCAGCTTCTCCATACTAAGAGCTTGGTCCTTGGACGGTGCTTGGGACAAACTCCCTTCCAATTCTACTTCAAAACTGGGGGCCTGGAATGAGGCACTTGTTGATTTGTTCTGTTTCCTCATTCATAGAGCAAGCAGCATTTTAGATCACCGTGGCCATAATGAAAAGATAGCATTAACCAGGTTCCATCTTAATGGGAATGATCCTTAAGCAGAAAGGCAAACAACTCAAAATAGTTGTCCGAAGTCCTTGAAACTGACCAGTTTAACTAGGCCACTCAATGCCAGAGTACACAATAAATGCTAGGAGCTCTCTGGGACTAGCAGAACAGAGCTGCCAGGAAGACTCTCGGAGGAGAAAAGTTGCAAAGGCTGAGACCAGCTCAGCTGTCTGAAAGAAGCTGAATGCAGCTGATAAGCCTGGGAAAGCTTTAGACCAATCACTTGAAAAAGACACTGTCCAACCTGTTGAGCAGCCTGCTGGCTGTGCAGTGTGCTCCAGGCTCTAGCTTTTGTGAGTTGTCACCCATGCTGGGGTGGGCAGGCTTGGTGCTACAACTGTCTTTGGGTCATATCTGCTCCAGTTAGTAACCCCCTCACCCACTTCCCTGTAAATAACCCCGGTAAAACTCATGGTCCACCAAGCTGGGCTTTGTGGTGTCTGTGCTTTCATCGGTTGGGGTTTTTATATGACCTGGGAGATAAATCTACACAAGTGATCCAAAAGCCTCAGAATATATATTCTGTGTTTCTGTTTGGCAAAGTGTGGGACTTTTGCAATGGATCACATAAGCCTGGAGGGTGGAGTGCTGTGGGATTTACCTGTCCTGTTCCTGCTTGTGGTCTGGACTTTGTGTTCAACCACTAACAAGTATATAGGGCATCGCTCAAATGAGGCTCACCTGTGTTGAAGGGATCAACTGAGGCTGTCTTCTGAGGACAGAAGCATGCAAACATTTTAAGTTAGGTGACTGAAGCCACTCCCTTCACCAAGACTTGGGAAAACAGAGCAAGACCAAGACCAAGAGGCCAAGAGAATGAATAGTGATGGCTTGGGAGTCAACCACAGATAAAATATATATTCAGGATTCCATTCTGATTCGAGTAAGTAAATTGGATTAAATACATGAGGGGGAAAGCTGGCTTTTACAGGAGAACTCTACTCAGTCATTGTAGAAGGAATGATGGAAATAGCAAAGGACAATTAAACGCTATGGCAGAAATCCTCACCTGAAAAAATTAGTAATAGGCACTATATTTAAAGTATGAGAAACAAGACACTTGCATAACCTTAAAGCACCTCTCTGAAAGGCAAAGATCACCAAAGTAAAAATATCCCTGTCCAGGAAGAAACTGCCAGCTTCCACCTTTGCCACATTCAAGGTTAACATCACAGGTAACATGACAGATTGGCATGATGTCCTCCAGACAAGGCTTACTGAGAAAAGAACCACAGTGCCTCTATGGTGCCCTTGATGAAAGTGCACACCCTCAATCAAAAGTGAGAAAACAACAACTAAATCTATCTTGACATATATTTCATAGACTCCCTGGCCAGTGCTCTCTAGAAGTGTCAAGGTCATGAAATCCAAGGAAAGCTCAAAGAACTCACCCATATTGGAGGGGACTAAGCAGATGTGACAACTAAATATCATAACATGGTATCAGTGGGGAAGCATGAAATTCACTTGAAGTCTTCAGTAGACTAGCTAATAACATGTGAACATTAATTTTCTGATTTCCATAGTACAAAATGGCTCCCCAAGATGTCAACTTTAGAAGCTTGGGAGAAGCTGGGCGGTGGTGGCATATGCCTTTAATCCATACTTGGGAGGCAGAGGCAAGAGGATCTCTGTGAGTTCAAAATCAGCCTGGTCTACAAGTGCTAGTTCCAGGACAGCCTCCAGAGCTACACAGGGAAACCTGTCTCGAAAAACCAAGAAGAAGAAGAGGAGGGGGTGGAGGGTTCCATGTACTATTATTACAGCTTTTCTACTTCTGAAATTACTCCAACTGAAATGTTGTATATAGTTTTTGTTTGTTTGTTTTTGGTTTTTAGAGACAGGGTTTCTCTGTATTGTTTTGGAGCCTGTCCTGGAACTAGCTCTGTAGACCAGGCTGGACTTGAACTCACAGAGATCTGCCTGCCTCTGCCTCCCGAGTGCTATACATCTGGTTTGCTTCCCCCAAATGGAAGCCCCCAGCACAGGATATATGGAAGGACAGCTTTATGACCAAACAGATGTGGATTCCAGCTATGAAGCCGCCATCTGCCAGTTAGCTTCTGGATGTTCTCTTGGCTGACATCATCGGTTTCTACAGTCACCTCCTCCAGGCAGCTGTTCTTCCCACATAAGTTTTAGTTCTTTTTTTTTTTTTTTTTTTTTGGTTTTTCGAGACAGGGTTTCTCTGTGTAGCTTTTGGAGGCTCTCCTGGCACTCGCTCTGGAGACCAAGCTGGCCTTGAACTCACAGAGATCTGCCTGCCTCTGCCTCCCGAGTGCTGGGATTAAAGGCGTGCGCCACCAATGCCCGGCAAGTTTTAGTTCTTAAAGGTGATTATTCTCTCCAGATTGCCTTTTATGTCCTACAGGGCTCACACCATCAACACCATCTTGCTTCCTGCCTGGATGCTGGCATACTGGCCCCCAACCTCCACTCTCCCGTCCTATAACAGAGGTTCCACTGGTTGCCCTATAAGGCCTGTATCTTCTGCTCTTAAGTAGGCCTCAAGCCTGCACCTTTCTAATGCTGACTGCCGTGCCCCTAGCTGGTCTGTAGTTTTCCTGAATGCCTGGGTCAGCCCCTGCCCAGGCCTGAGTATGCAGGTGACACACCCATGACTTACTCGTAAAACTCTGCAGCCGGTGTGAACTTGTATTTGGAGTATTTGGTATGGTCTCCCAGCACCGAGGCATTGAGGAGTTTCGGGTCAGTGCAGTTGGGGCTGTTCCAGGCATGGCCACAGTTGGTCCAGGGCAGGTTCAAGGTGAAGGATGCAAAGAGGTAGTAGAGCGACCAGGCAATGATGACATTGTAGTAAAAGCCAACATAGAGGGCAATGAGGATCACAGCATAGCCCACTCCTGTGTGGAGACATAGAGGTCAGGCCTTTGTCCCAGTCGCATAACTATCCCCTCACCCCTACAAGTGGACTTCAGCCACTGCACACTCTTGTACCTTCCTTTTTCTGGATCAGATTGCCAGAGCCTCACCCATAATCCTTTGCCACTGTAGCTTTCTCAGTCACTCATCAGGTAAATAGAAGTGCCAGGGCCTTAATGTTGTATCAGGTGTTGGAATATAAATACAGCATCTCCCTACTCACTCAATCAGGATAACACAGGGTGTGTTTCACAGCTCTCCCTGCCTACAGTGGAAACTGTCAGTTATGGGCTCCTTAGCTAGAGACAAGCTTCCAGTCTCCAACTGATGTTCCTAAGACCATCTCACCTTCCCTGGTAACTCCTTATACTTGAATTATTTAAATCCTTCTCCAGGACCTGCTTCTGTTTTGGGGAAAGCGCCAACCAAGCACTCCCTGACCAGTTCTCAGCACAGTGTGCTTGCTCACAGGGTCCTACCAGCAACCAATTGTGTCCTATGCTAACACACTGACTGAATAATTAGAAAGCTCCTGGGAGGCTGTAGCTGTGGCTCTTTTTTTTTTTTTTTTTTTTTTTAAGAGTAGAAAATTTTCCTTACACACTCATTGCTTTAAGGGATTATCCTTGGCATTTTCTTTTTCTTCTTCTTTTTTTTTTCCCTCGGGATAAGGTTTCCCTCTGGTGTAACAGCCCTAGCTATCTTGGAACTCACTTTGTAGACCAGGCTGGCCTGGAACTCACAGAGATCCACCTGCCTCTACCTTCTGAGTACTGGAATTAAAGGTGTGTACCACATGCAATGTAATTCTTAGTGGTGAGATTTGAAAGAGAGTAATCCCAGTTTTCTTGATGTAGCCAGGCCTGGCCAATCAGTGTTGCTTCCCTGTAGTTACACTGATTAACAGACAGTCGTTTGACTAAAATCAAACCAATGAAATCTTTCTCTGGGTCCTTTAGTAAAGTCTTGAGTACTTAAGAGGTTTTTGTTGTTGTTGTTTGTTCATATGTTTGTTGTTTTCAACAGTTAAACTTGGCAGAATTTAACCTTGTAGCTGCTAATGGCCATCTTTGTTAGCATTTGATAAGAATGCACCCGGGAATGCTGCTAATATAGGAGAAAACAAAGCTGAGAGAGATTCCAGACAGCACTGTTTGAGCACCTGGGTCAAGATGCACAGGACCAGACCCCTAGGCTTTAACGTAAACCAATAAATCAAAGTCTGATCGAATATATATTGAATATTGACTCAACTAGTAAGGCGCAGTCTGGAGTTCAAGTTTTAGGCTAGATTTCATGTAACCTAGTTTCTTTGTATAAATTTGAATGGTGGACAATTTTGACCTTGTCAATCCCTTTGAACCCCATGTGAGAGTTAGTCTAACTTAAATCAGACCTTGGGAGCAGATTCTTCAGAAGACACCAAGTAAGGCTTTGGACAAAATATTTGACTTCCCTTAGATCACTCCTACCTTTAAAGAAAGGACAGATCTTCCACACCGTGGCTGCACCTTCCCGGTTGTACTGCCCCAGAGCCAGCTCCATGTAAAACAGTGGCATCCCAGCGATGATGAGGAACAACGTGTATGGGATCAGGAAGGCACCTGTAAAACATAGACAGCCACATCAGATCTGCAGGATAGATGCCCCCCTTGAAGGGCTGCAGTGAAGCATCTGCAATAGCCATGAGGACCCTGTCCATCTGCTTCAGATGGAGGTTTCCAAAGTCGGGGGGGGGGAGTGGGGGGAGTCTTGTGTCAACAGAGTTACGAAGAACACTTGATATACATATATCAGCTAGCATGGCAGTCATAGTGTTCCTAATCATAATAATGCCATTTGCAGTCAGATGAATAAAGTCTGAGCAAAGCTAAGCTAAAGAGCCATGTTTCCACAGCTTCAAGGAGCCTTTGGTGCATGGTGTAGGCTATGAAGCACCACAAGATATAGCCCCTACTAAAGTCGGCTAAATGAAGAGCCTTTCCTTTTGTGAAGCCTAACTCTGGAACCTCCCTGGCAGTCCCAGGCTTTCTGTCCACAGGCAAGATGAGTAAGACCAGAGATGGTGCAACTGATGTCATTGGGGGTCTCACATGGCTTCCCCAAACCTGATTTTACTGCATTCCCCTTAGAGTGCCACAGCAACACACGAGAAAATGATTCAAGCAGGGTCAATGTGTCCCCCAAGGGATATTGCTAGGCACAGGGAGAAGTCTACACTTCCTGATGGAACTGTTGATAAGTGACAGAGGGATTCTCCTTCAGGCTTCCTTCCTGTCCATGGGGCTCATCCTGCTGTAGGCTGCTGAAGGAAAAATCTGGTACAAGAAGAAGCTCATCCACTGACGTAGAACCTGAAGAGGTTCCTAGGTCACAAGAGACAATCCTGGTGGAATGAGACAAGTCTCAGCACCAGGGTCAAGCCTCTGTGTGCCCTGACACCTTCTCAGTAAGCTACGTGGGCTAAGAGATCTGGTGCCATGACTCAGGGATGTCTGTTTGCCGGGTCAGAAGGATCAAAGCAAAACAGCAGCTCCTTTCAGGGTAGAGCCAGCACAAAACCAAACTCCCCCTGGTCATCTGACCACAATGCTCTAACCATGGCAATCTCTGACCCATCCACTCCAGGAAAATGAGCCAAGTTGAGAGTGTGTAAAGGTGACAACACTGGTGATTTTAACACATAGCTTACTAGCTTGCTCTGGCTAAGCCCCTGCTGTGATACAGGCACTTTCCACGCCACCTCATTATATCTTCACAGCACATTTCTTCAGAGCAAAGATCTTTGCTAAAACTCCATTTTGTGTGTGGAAACTGACGTTCTTTGCTACAAAAGAACTGGAGCAGAGGTACATGGTATCCAAGGTCAAGCTCACTCATTGACTCAGTGTCTGCCTTCTGCGTGGAAAGCCTGGGGCTTGGAAGGATAGAGCATGATATGCTGGTCCAGGTAATTCCCAGCTAGACACAGGCCCAGCTTCAAGAGTGGTGAAAACTCCTGCTAATTCATACCATGCATATCTGTCTGAGTTCAGCTGTACAACCCAGAACCCCTCTGACAGCAAACAAGTGCTGAGATCACTCTCCAGAGGAGAAGACTGACAGTGTCAAATCAAGTGAACTGACCAGGCTTATATAGCTGGTAACTTATAGAGTTTAGGCTCAGGTATGCCTGGCTTCTGAGTTCTAGGTCTGTTCCCAACATACCCTGCAGATTCTAGAACGTTCTAGTGCAGATAAAAGATATGAGTCTGAATAAGATGTAGGAAGAGGAGTGTTTGTGGATCTGAGACAAGCCAAGATATCTGGTCTGTTTGTCATAGGCTAAGCCAGCCCTCCAAGGTCTGCTCCAAGCAGGGATTCTTTGAAATACCACATGTCAAGGTCTCCTTTCTTCCATTTAACTTCTGCCTCGCCCACTCTCGAACAGGAAGGGCCCTTCTGGTATCTGCTCACATAGCTGTCAGGAGTAGTGTTGATAAGGACAGTGCTGATGCAGGGAGGTCATGGGTTTAAAAAAAAAAAATGGGACCCAGTCTGTGCCAGGCCACACAGGTTGTACACAGTATTCATTTAGAACTACCCCTAAGAGATAATCACCACTATTCCCATTTTACAGGCAAGGAAACTGAGGCTCAGAAAATGCTTGTGCACACTGGTAAACATTTACAACTTAGATGCAAAGCTTGATTCGCCTGGGTCCACTCTTCTATCACCTGCTATGTCCCATGGGGGTCTAGAGCTTGGATTCAAATAAGAAGTTAGGTCCTAAACAGTTGAGTAGACCTGAAGACTGAAGTCAGTACCCCAAAGGGGAAGGGGGAAGGGAAGAGCCAGAAAGCAGTGCTTGGATGTAGGTTCTAAGATTTGCCAACAGAGAGTCCACGTTCTTTTCTACCTGGCCGACTCATCACTGTTATAGCCAATGCTCTTAACTCTAAACTTCCAGGTGGCACCTCCAACCCAATAACTCACTCAGTTTGAAGCCCATGTCCCCTGCTGCTGACTGCAAGTCACAACAAAATAAGGAAGCACAGACATGTAAGGGTCTGCATGAGCCACAACTCTCCACAATGAATGACTCTGATGTGACCAATAGAAGTTTCACAGAATGCAAATCCCAGAAGAATCAAGAATGGTGACACAGGAGACATGGGAGATTGGAGGGAGGAAATGGAAGGAGTATGTGATATAATTATATTTTAATTTAAAACCTTTTAATGGCTTTAATGGTTCAATGTTTCTGCTAAAAACTGACATTAAGTAACACACTGGTGTGAGCTCTCTTACAAAACAAAAACAAAAATGGGGGTGTGGCTGAAGAGTTAGGAAAGGTCAGGTAGCTGTAGTGGGCTGAGGACATCTTTTCACAGCCAGGTCTGCAGCAGCATCTTGGAGTTAAAAACTGCTTGTAAATACACTGGTCTGCAAGGGCCATCACTGTTACGTCCTTGTCTGAGTGTGTCTCCTGTGGCCATGCATTGCCACAAGCCTCACACAGGCCTTGAAAGTCCAGATCCTGCCACAGCTCTGGAGTGCCCTTGTTGTGTAAGTGCAGGGCTTACTCAACAGACATGGGAAAAACGTACCTCCCTGAGGGCTCAGCTTCTAGGAAGTCCCCCAAAATATGACTTCACACAACACACACCCATATGTACTCATGCAATGCTAGGACTAGACCTTTTGCCCAAACACACACACACACACACACACACACACACACACACACACACACACGTTCATACCACCTTACAAGGAAGAGAAGTATCCATTGAGAAAGAGACTCTGGCTAAAAGCCTTTGGATAGATTTAGTGAAAGTGAGCAAGCATTTGTCTCTTGGGGCCACTTACACAGCCAGATATCTCACCATTATAGAAGAGCTCCACTGGCACAGGAGGTTCTAGAATTTTCCTTGTAAATGCTGGGTCATCAGGAAGAGAAGCCAGCAGCCTCTAAGATCACTAGATAGTTACTTGGGAAGGCGAGGGGGATCTGAGGGAAGGTGGTTGGGGGTAAGGTAGGAAGGGAAACCAAGAGGAATGTGATGGCCCAAGTCTGAGGGACTAGAATGAGGTGGAAGGAGTCTGGTCACTGGAAGCTACATCAGGAGAGGAAGGTCATCTAGACCAATCTTCTAAGGACAGACTTCCTTCAGTAGTCTAGATAAACTCTGGTGTGTTCAAGGAGTGAAAATGCACAGAGCAGCTTCCTGGATGCCTGAAGCCCAGCTGAGGGCTGTTACCGCCTGAAGCTCCCCTCAGGCCCAACAATGCCTAGGCCAATAAAATAACCAGATTTGGCCCCCCTGTAGAATCTCAGGGGCCAATATCTGAGCTCAGGGAGCTACCCAAACTCTTGCAGGGCTCGGGCACAGTCTTCTTGTAGACATAGCTCAAAATAACAACTCCAGCCACAACTGTTAATAAAAGCATATCTCCTTCCTTCTTTGACAATAGGCCTTTGTAATAGTTCTGTTAAAAACTCCAAGTATGGAATTCCCAGTTCTTAGAGCTCTAGACTGAACTCTGCTAGCCAAGACCTTGAGCTCCTTTTCATCCTCAGTTCCATCGGCCATATAAGAGACCTCTGGCATATGCTGGTGGGCTCTTCTGCCCTGTGCCTGAGTTCTGTTCCCAGGCCCCTACAGGCAACAGGCCTTGCACATTGTTCAACAGGTCCTTGGGGATCATTTGCCCAGGAAAACCCAGAGTCAGATTTCTGGGACATAGTTAGGTGGAAGGACACTCACTCTCTCACTTTCATGTTGGCTCAAGATGACCTCTTGCCTGAGCCCTGACACCCAGGCACAACTCCTGACAAGATGCACACCACCCTGCTGTGAGTGAGTCAGAAGTCAGTGGGGGTGGGATTTAGGGAAATGAGTTTGGAGGCTACTTCTCTTTATGCAACACCTCTCCTTTCACTACCCCTCCCAAACTTGACTCCTCCTTTAGTATTCTGGTTACCATCATCTCCATTCCAGTCTCTTTAAGAGGAATAAAGCTGAAAGTGTTTGGGATGCTCATTGGGAACTATATTACTACAGGAAATGTGACCCACAAAGAACTGAATAGGACCTCAGTGCCCCCATTTAGAACATACTTCGAATATGGTATAATACCTCATGAACTTTTAGAATATCTACAGTGACTACAGCTCCCTAGAGGCAGGGGTTGTCTTCCACACATCTTTGTACTTGGGGCTGGCATGAGCCAATGAGTTTCTGTTGAATAAACAGGTCTCTGCAGGGACTCACAAGGAGGGTGCCACTAGTGGAAGCCCTGAACCTTCTCCACTGGTCCTAGAATTTATCCTCACTTAGGCAATGGGTTTGAGACTAGTACAAGATACAACATTTTTCTCCATTAGACCCCACTTGGTTGGGAACAGCCCTTCAGCTCATTTTGGTCAGCTCAGAGTAGTGGGCCACTAGATGATAATAAGCCCAGATCAGTCAGTACCTTACTCTTTAGAAAGGGGTGGGGGCAGACCCCACAGTTCAAGTACCATGCTGATTGGTTCCTTGTGCATCTGAGCTAAATAATAAGTGTCACCCCAACAAGATTCATATATGGGTGGCCCTATATCCAAGCTAGATGTGAAGGTATCAAGTTGGGAAACTCCGTACATGTCAAGTTGGGTATTGAGGATGCCAGGCATTTGGGTCGTGAGGGAAGTATACTGGGAACTCAGAATCATAGCATCTTATAGAATCCCATGCTGGAGTGTAAAGCCCACTGTCCAGGCGCGCAGTCTGCAGCACACTGTAGATGATCTGACATGGACAAAGCCCAACTTTATCCTCCTAAAGTTGCCACAGCATGGCCCCAGATTTAAGGAGTTCTTTTTTACCTTATCTCCTCCATCAATTTCTTTTCAGAATGAATTCTACATGTTTCAGAATTAAGACTTTATCCTACACCTGTGTTCACCATGTCACCAGTATCATCAAAAATATAGAAATGGTAGCATTCCATTGAGCCCCTATTATATGACATTATCCCAAGTACTTTACCTATATTGTCTGATGTTATCTAGCCCCGTAGAAAAGGTTAAATTTACCTCCTCTCTTTTCTGCACAAGGAAACCAAGGCTTCAAGACACCATATGGCTTGTCCAAGGACACTTCTCCAGAAAATATCTGACTCTGATTCAAAATGGGTGTGCCCAAACCCCAAATCCACAGTTGCCACAAGATCCAGTGCAGAGCACCATGCACAGAGGACAACCCACAGAGGCCACCTCCAGAAATGAGAACTCAAACAGGTACATGTTTGTTCCTTCCCAGAGACCAGCACAGACCCAATCTCAGGTTCACAGGGAACAATCCGGAACTCACAGCCTGTCATCCCAGCAGCTGGTCTTCAGGAAGATGTTCAGACAGGCTGATCCTTGACAGTAATTCATTCATAAAACATTAGCCAGGGGCATAAACTATTGGCACCTTCTTCAGTTCAAAACATTCTCCAGTCTGGGCCAGTATAAACACTCAGACTTGGAGAGTTCTATGTTAACACTGGCACCAAAGAACCAGGCTGCTAAAGGACAGGATGATGAAGCTGGCTTGTGTCCAGCAGTAGTCAGGGTATTGGGGAGCAATGAATTGTAGGGACCATCTAAGACTGTGTCCCTTTATAACAGAAATTTTGATGTCTGAGGCCACGGTGAGTGGCAGGGTTGGGATTCAAACTCAAGTCTTTGGCTTCTTCTGAGACTGAAGAAATACCTGCCTGCTCACCCATCTCTGGAACTGAATTCAGAATTACTGGAGGAGAATGGGCCCACAAGAACAGTGTGAGATCTCAGGGGAGATCAAGGCCTGCAGGGGTAACTGAGCCTCCTCTGGAGCAGGAAATGGAGTACTGCTCTGTTCTCCCAGGTGAAGGGCTGGCTATACTACCTGTCCCCAGACCAATTGCAAAGCTCCTCATCAGCAATGGAAATTCACTGATGAAGCAGCCCTTCCCCCTCAGCTTAGCACCCAAGGCTTCTGCAGCCCAGCCCCAACTTGCCTCTCACCCTTATCTCTCCTGGCTTGCCCTCTGGCCAGCCTAAGTTCCTCTTCTGAGGATCCTGTCCAAGGTGGAAGCTAAAATGCTGTTTTCCAAGCCCTCCCTGCCCAAAACAGCTGCATTCCAGGTTCTCAGCAGCCCCTTCTTAAACCTCTATAGCGCCAGTCACTCTCCCATCCCTTTCCTATGGCATCCTGATGATACTGATAAAAACAGGGACCACTCTCTCTAACTCTGGGCTCTGCACATGCACTGAGCATTTTGTCCTTGGCCGTCCTCTTAGCTTAACAACATTATTGGACAGATGAGGAAACAAAGGCCTGGAGAGTTGCCCAAAGCCGTACATGTCATGTTAGAAACCAGAGCCTGTAACTTCCTAGTCAAGACTCCTGATGTCTAGACTGCACTCCCCCATACACATCCGCCCATCATCATCATCTCCAACACATCACTGCGTTAGTTTCTATCATGTTTCTCTCATGGTTTCTAAAATTGGCAATGACTCTCTGAGAGCTTGGGTTATTTTATTAATATATTTGTTCAATACAAGTGCCTAGGAACCTTCTACCACACTTCTAGGATTTGAGTCTTATTGGAGATTAAAATCTTATAGTCTGTACCTCAGATTTTCCTAGGCTGCTTGGGAAACAGGTCCACAAAAGACAAATTATGGAACAACTCAGAATGGCCACTCCAGGACCAGGATGCTCAGGAAAGGGAACTTCAGTCAATTTCAATGAAAACTTTACATCTGTGACAAATTTGCTGTACTTTGTCCCTAGCAACCCAATCTATCATCCAGCACACAGCAGCTGTTCTCTCTGCAACATGGCAGTGGCCATGTGGACATAGTATCAATGAGGACCCTGAAATATCTATTTAGCACATGTGTCAAGTTGGACATTTGTGTTACTTTAGTGTCAGTGGGCACATAACAATAGAAAGAACATATCACAGAATGACAATAAGGACTTTCTGGGAATCAATGCTCCCAGCAGGCAGAATGGTGGCTTATACATCTAGGTAACTCCTGCAGAGCCCAGCATTATGCCTTACACTGAGCTAACCCAAAGAAATAGGGTTGATTAATGACAGAGTGTCTGGAGTCTAGGGACAGGCAGTCTCAGACGGTCACTAAGGACATGCAACTTGTCCTAAGGGCTCCCAATTTGTCATTTATCCATCATCTCCCTGCTTGCTAAAAATATAGAAAATCTACCTTTTTGTTGTTGCTACTACTGGCCTCCAAGGGCCAGAATGCTCAGATTTTCCCAGAGTCCCTGGCAGATCTTCAGCCACAACATGTAGAAAAGCTTCACCTTAGGGTTGTGTGCCTTTTCCTTAGCTTTCTCTTTCTGCCCAACATCTGTGGATCAGAGTACTGAGCCAGAAGAGTAGAAAGGGCCATCAGAGGCCAGGAAGCACCTCCTGACCCTTGGGACTTTTGTCCCAGCTGCCTTATCTGGAGTGTCTAATGGTGACAGACCGAGGCCATGTTAGGAAGGGAACACATGGCTGCTCATCACTTGACTCTGGCTTTGATTCCCTTTCCCAGGGAGAGCTAATGCTTCTATATGCAACAGGATCAACTCAGAGCCACCTGCTCTCTTTGGTGACCACACCCTCTTTACAAATATTGGGTATTGCTTATCCCAAAGCAAGTGTCCAGAGAGCACACAGAAACAAAGAGCCTTGCATCTTGGACTCTGAGGCACAAAGTCACAAGCTCCTTCCAACCCCCTGTAAATTTTCGCCCTGCCTCCAATTGACTTCCCTTAAATTCCAAGTCAGAGTTACAAGGTGTGGCCTTGTCTAGGGATGGCCCAATGCCTTCCTCTAGAAGCTCACATCCCTGGGTTCTGTGCATGGAACTCCTGAGCTAACATCTCAGTAAAGGTGGTGGGACTGGAGTGGCTTGGGCATCTTAGGTTCCAAGCCCTTCAGGAAGGAGCTCAAGGCTGCTTCCATGGGGCTGTATATGACCTCTGTGCTCTCATTCCAGGGTAGATGGGTAAAATGACAGCTCATCAAGAAGAGGGAAAAAGAGGTTGGCTCACCAGCACGCCACTCCACAATGTAGCCAGAGCCTGTAAAACTGAAGAGGACACTCCAGTCTCCCAGAGCTCCTGCCTCAAGGTCCAGCTCAGCTCTTGGCATCTAGTGGTGTAATCTCACAAAAGCTATGTGCACTTACCCCTGTAGCCCTCTGATGATCCCAGGGCTCCAGTTTTACCTGACCTAGTGTTGGAGCCCCAAGGCTAAGAGTGCTAGAGTTATTGTCATCTCGTGTCTGGCTGGAATATCCTAAACTCTTAGAGAACCTTTCAAGATCTACACCCCTTTCCTGAGGGAGCAGCATTGACTCGGAGTTCCTAACCCAACCAGGTGCCCCCCATTCTGTCCTTGAACCCCTATGCCTACCACTGTCCAAGGGCCTACCTCGATTTCCCTAATGGAGATCACTCTGATCCTATTTCCCGGCGCCCTAAAGTGTTCTTTGCTGAACATTAAATTTCTTAATGTGTGTCTTCTTCTCCATGGATGATATCCCTGCTCCCTTCCCAGCCGACACTACAAGAGCAAGCAGCCTCCCAAGTCCAAAACCTCAGCCAACCCTGTGCTCACCACCACCATTTTTGTAGCAGAGATAGGGGAAGCGCCACACGTTGGCCAGGTCCACTGCGAAGCCGACCACAGACAGCAGGAAATCGATCTTCTTGCCCCAAGTCTCCCGGGGCTGCGCGTCGCCGTTCTGGGACGCCAGGAGGCACTGGACGCCGTTGCGCTCCTTCACCACCAGCAGATCCGCGGTTTTACAGGGCCCTAGGGGCTGCTCAGGCAGCGGGTCCGCCCCGCCGAGCTCTGGCTGCACCTGCGGGTTCATTCGCGCCAGAAGCATGGGTGCGGCTGGAAAGAGGGACTGCGGAGGCACTGGGGACACACCGAAGCTCTGCTTGTATAAAAAGGAAAAAAAATTGGTCACCAGGGCTTGCAGTTTGTTTGCACCAACTGAGACCACCCAGGGAAACCCAGACCGTCGGGATCCGTGAGCTGAGCGGACTCCGACTTCCTAGAAAAGGGAGCACATGTGTTGGAAAAATTTGGAGACAGAGGTTGTGACGCGCGTCCGACTGGGACAGTACTCATAGGTGGGGACCTCCTTGGGCCGCCCTGTGGGTCGGGCTAAAGACCCTGGTCTCTCTACCTGGGTCATTTTCTGCCTCCCGCACCATCACACATACCCCTAAATGGCAA